AGCCAACACCGACGGGCGCGCGAGTGTGCTTGGGTTGCGTGTGGTGTGTGGGAGTGTGTTGGCTGTAATGTTGGATATGCTGTTACGTTCTTGCGAACGCCTCTACTGACCGTCTCATTAATGAAGCAAGTGAGATGCGTTGCGTAAAGTCTCTGAGGATCCCAAACAGCTCGGCGGTCGCTGGCTAGGGCGAGCGGCCGTACTTTTTTGTGGTTTCCTGCTGATCGAACATTGCTTATACAATTTTCACTGGTTTCCCCAACCTGAAATCAACGAAACAACGCACTGATGAGTCGGTGTACAGTGCAACCTTTGTGAGATTGTATTACAAAACGAGTTTGCGAAAGAAGTGTTTCCTGTGATTTCTTGGACGGAGCAACTCTGCTGACGAGCCCGTGGGATTCAGACGCGAAGCGTCTGCTCTTCGAGCCTTTGCCAAGGTGGAGAACGTCATGTGCTAAGAAATGGAATACACTGCTGTTACTCGATGGGGGTGGGGGAATGGAGGAAGATGAAAAGGGAGGTGCAGTTTCCAGTCCTTGTGTTAGCTGGGCCCCCACGGGTGGCCCCAACCCTGCACCCTAAACCACTAGGGCAAGGGGCAAACATGCAATTACCTCCTCCACCAAGAAAGGTAACCTCCCTTCACCAAAGAGAGGTAGATAGCTATGCTTGCAGGGGTCTCCTGTATAGCCTTAGGAGTAGTGGTAGGTAGGCAGTGAAAGATGAAAAAGATATGTTCCGTGATGTGGCTGACGCCCGTTAAAAATTGAGGTATATATATATATATCGTCAAATAGAACTGCCCGGTAAACCGTAGGCAGAGAGAGAGAAGAGGACAACAAACGAGGGGCTGTGACAAACTGTTTCGTCGGAGTTTATATACATATATTGTCACACTGTGAATCGGAGCGCAAAGGCGGAAAAAAGCAAAACAAGGGAAAGAAAAAAAGTCAGGAAGGAAAGCCCCACCTGTTCATCACCTCCTACGTACAAGGCCAGCCNAGGGGCTGTGACAAACTGTTTCGTCGGAGTTTCACCGACTCATCAGGAGGCTGAACCCTCAACAGTCTGCAGAATCCCCTCACTGATTACACTGTAAATGATAATCTACCTTAACCAAAATCAACGTAGACTATCACTCACCCACATATATATATATATATACACTATTATACAGCTGTCCCCTGATGAGGAGAAGACAGAAATTCAGATAATATACAGGGTTCAGCCTCCTGGTGAATCGGTGAACTGCGATGAAACAGTTTGTCACAGCCCCTCGTTTGTTGCCCTCTCTTCTCCTCTTCTCCCTCTCTGCCCACGGTTTACCTGGCAGCTCCCAAATGGAGCTGCTGGGTAAACCGTAGGCAGAGAGGGAGGGAGAAGGAGAAGAGGACAACAAACGAGGGGCTGTGACAAACTGTTCCGTCTCATCAGGAGGCTGAACCCTCTACAGTCTGCAGATTATATGACATCCACAGAAGATTAGCATGGATTGCATGGAAGGATGAAACCCACAGATACTCGACCTCTTTTTGTACTTTTGTCTTTTCCTTGCATCTTTCGGAAAAGAAATACGGTTTGTCCATACAGGCAGTTACTCAACCCCCCCCCCCCCCCCCTCTCTCTCTCTCTCTCTCGTGGCCCAGCAGTAAGCTTCATTTTGCTAATGGAAAGGTGTATCTTCCCTGAGGTGTTCAGGAGGGTTTTGAATGGACCACAGAGAGTTGGTGAGCCGAGGGAGGGGGTGAACTGGTCTGTCAAAGGGGACATCAGGGCCAGACAATCCAGTTGAACGAGGGCCAGTGGGGCCTAGGGAACATCATTTATCATCAATATTCCAGGAATAGCCTTAAAAGTTAAAACCTAGGACCTGAATCTCATCCCTTTGGATTGATTATTGCTAAGCCCAGCCCCCTCTACCCATCAGCTGAGCAGTATGTGGTCGTTTTCCCTCGGGAATTCTACGGTTGTGCTTCTCAGCTTTACTAGTTGTTTGTCTTGCGGGGGCCAGAAGGCAGTCTTATACCAGATTGTTGATAGGATGGCATTATTTATAAGAAAGGAACTGCCAATCTTGGGACATGCGAAGGCCTTTTCACTTCGCCAAACTGCAGGCGGCTACCTCTACTAAACGACACCCGTGGTCTTTGGGCGGGCCCAGAGCTGTTAGTCAAACTCCCAGGTCTCGGATCGACACCCCGTGGTCCTTGGGCGGGACCAGAGCTGTTAGCCGAACTCCCGGGTGTTCGGATCGCTTCTTGCTTAGGTCTCCATTTCACTGGTGGCTCATCCTAAGGGAGTAATCCCTAGGGAGGTAACCACAAACCCGATTGACTTTCATGTCTGCCGCCTTAGAAATGAGGTACGCTGTTTCAGTGGGACCCATCAAACTGGATAATGGGGAATTCCACCATGACAGGAAGGTCGTCTGCTAAGAGAGAGATCACTTGTAGTGGGTGAGCTGGGATTTTCGGAATGTGGATCCTTTCGGAAGTTCGGTTGGCTATGGCGATTATAGGCATTAAAGTTTCCATAAATAGGACAAACAACAAAATGGGGCTTATGAGATCTCCTTGTCTGACTGATCTTTGCAAAGGGTAGGGAGAGAGAGGCTCATTCAACATGACATTAGTAGCAATTGATCTATGTAAAGTTCGCACCCATTTCTTGGAATTTGGTCGAAATCTCATTCTAAACAAACACATGTCCAAGAAATCCCAGTCTACGTGGTCATATGCTTTTTCGAAATCTCAGAAGGAATTGCTGGGCGATCGGGCAATAATTGCGCTTTTCAGCCTTATCCTTAGCAGTCTCCCTCAGCTACATAGTCAATAAAGATGTCAGATTTTGTAGCGGAGTGTAATGTTCGGGTAGCGAAGCTCACAAGCTAACAAGAGAGCCTTGACTCCTTTCCAGAGACGTTTCGAAAGTGGACAACTTATCGTACTACTTTGTTTTCATAATCCACAATAGAGTATGCATTGTACCATTGTCCATCTCCGGTTTGTGCCGATCGAAGGGGTGGCATAGGGAGGGTAGCATGTTTTGACAGGATATAGGGTGAGCTGCCACTTGCAAAGAGCATTGGTTCTGACAACTGAATCTGTACGTGCTCGTGGAGAGGTGCACAAATTCACGGCTGTTCTGCTTTTTTGCATTTCTGCCTAAGACCCGTCCAGGTTCAGGCGCTCAATCCAATCCTCTTTGGCAGTGGAGCCTAGCCCGTACTCTTTCCTTTCCTTTCCTTTCCTTTCCTTTCCTTTCCTTTCCTTGAAGAATGCTTTAGCCATCGTACCTTCCGTGGGGTCTTCGTGTATGCTCGGGCTTGCTGACTGAGGTGGGTCATCACGAGCAGCCTAAAGATCCATAAACGTTTCTAGATCCAATGGATTTTATTGGGGTCACTGTAGTGGGGTTTCAAAGCCGTGGACTACATTTTTTGAGTTTGTTTATTACCTCGAGGCGTTACCTTTGCCACTAGCACCTTTAGTACTTCTCGAACTGCATTTCTTATTATTTTTGCGTGGTCATGAGCAGCCTCGAGATTGATAAATGTTTCTTGATCCGATTGGCTTCTAGTCAACGGAACATCCTATATTTTGCTCCAGCGCATGAACAAGTCTTTGTAGGATAATTTTCAGGTCCTGCCCGTGCTTCATTGAAACAGTTCTCCCCTTTTCCCTTTTATTGAGATTTCCCCTTATTCTTAACAAAAAAAAAAAAAAAAAAGAAGTAGAAGAAGATATCCCCTTATTGAACGTTTCCAAGTCAACGGCCAACTCCGTCGTATGCTTTTTTTTTTTTTTTTTTTTCCGAATACTCAACCAGTAGTTCCAAAATGAGCAGAGTCAGCAGCCCAATCCAGCAAACGCGCAAAGGTCGAGAAGCAATGTTGAGCTCGCGTAGGTGGCTTGCTAAACTTCTCTGTATCGCTCCACAAATTTTAACCCACCAGTACTCGTGGCTTGTTCACGGGCACGCCTTTAGGAAGTACAAGTACGGTTTCACGACCTTCCAAGTTTCTTTTGCTCTTCCAACCTTGCATTCTTCTCTCTCTCTCTCTTAGGTCAACAAGAGTGAAAGAAAGAGAGTTCTTTTTTTTTTTTTTTTTTCGTCAAAGTCACACGGATTTTTCCGGCATATGGGTACGCCGGCCGGGTTAACTCATCACTCGCAGAATAATGTATACTTAACCAGTTGCAGTCTTAAGAGAGTTTTATGTCGGAGTGATACAGAGAAGAGTAGCAGGCTGGGCCTGGTTCCCAGAACATGTTGCTGCCCACAAATAGATTGGAGCATTGTTTGACAGGAAGAAAGAAAGAAACTCAAGAATAAAAGAGAGAAGGAAAAAAAGGTCTCAAGCGAATAGGAGGTCGTCAATTCACAAGTAAATGGATAAGAATTCAGAAAATAATAAAATGTTGAAGTAAATTGTAAAATGTAGTTATGTTGTCCTTCGGTACAGAGATGACTGGAATGGCCCCTGCGCAAGGAGGACACGCATAAATTAAGAATCCGTTTGAATTGGAATGACGCAGAGAAAATTAGCATGGGCCCTGCACAAGGACGACACATATAAATTGAGAAATGCGGCAAATGCCCAAAAAAAAATAATAAAAAAAAATAAAATAAAGGGAGGAGAAGAAGAACTTGAAGAAGAATGTAATCACACATTGCCAAATGATGCAAATGACGATGATGAATAATCAGAGATGGGTTGGGGCCGCCGGTGGGGGTACGGCTAACGCAAAGACGGAGCATTTCGCCAGTAGCTGTGCCTCCCTTTCTCATCATCCGCTGTTGGGGCGGGGGGCAACATGATTTGCCTCGTTTGCGAGGCCCTATGCTTGCAGAGGTCTTAGGAGTAGTGGCAGGAAGGTAGAGAAAGGCAAAAAGAAATTGAGAGAAGAACGCAGTGTAGTTTAAGGAAAAAAAAAAAAAGAAAAAAAAAAAAAAAAGAAAAAAAGAAAAAAGAAAAGATGATGACTAATTATAGGCTACGCAGGGGCCACGCTAATCTTCTGTGTATTGTTCCATTCCAATTTTAACGGATGTCCTGAAGGACAAAAAGAAAGAAGAGAAAAGAAAAGAAAAAACGTCCCAAAAACCGAACGAATGGTTTGCGGGTGTTCTTCTTGCAGCTACTTTTTGCCCGGGCCTCGAGTTCGATGTCTCAACCCCAGATCCCAACCTGGGGGGGGGGGGTCACATCCTCAGCAACCAGAATTGCATTAAGGGCCTGACTGAATCTGGATATGTATCACAAAATGCAGAAAAGCGGATCCATCACGATCTTCTGCACCTCTGCAAACACTTCTTCCACATTCAGGCGTGAAATCCAATCATCTTGGCCAGTTCTTCCTAAGAGTCTTCGAAAAAGCTGAAAAGTTTTTCCATGGGACCATGCCCCTGGGGAATAAAGTCGTCTGCACCGCCTGTGCATCAGGATATGCAAAATCAAAATTTAACTAAAATTAAAAAAAATATATTTTGAAAGATCTCCAATCAAAACTAAACCTGGAAAAATAGTAAATAAAATTTAATAAATGTGAAAACAAACTTCTTATTTTGGATGAAGCTGCTCCGATGTACCTTCAGGAATCTAAAGACTAAAAGGGGAAAAACAAAACAAAAAAAAAAACAAAAAAAAAAAAACAACGAGAATCGAAAAACTAAATTCACAACAATTCACTCCCTTTAAAGTTTAAATCCCTCTAAATTCACAACAATTCACTCCCTTTAAATCCCTCGTAAGCCCCTTTACAACGCCTTTACAACCCCTTTACACCCCCTTCAGACTCCCAGTTGACGGCTACAATGCACTCCCTTCGAAATCCCTCTCAAGCCCCTTTACACCCCCTTTACACCCCCTTCAGACCCCCAGTGAAGTCCGCAGGCACTCGTTGGAAATAAGGTTGGACATGGGATGGGCTCCATGGACACAATAATCATTAGCTTCGTTACAGATCTCTTGTAAGATCCAGCGTGAAACGATGTCTCCGTCTGCCTTCTCTGTCTTATCCATCCAGATTTCCACGCGGACGGATGCGCTCCACCCCTTTACGCCCGCTTTGGGCCCTTTTTACACCCCTTTTACACCCTTTTACACCCTGTTTACACCCCGCTCACACTACCTTTTACACCTCCCCCCCCTCCCTTCTCTTTTTTAACCTGGCTGGGTCAGACAGCCTGGATGGAGCTCCCTGTCTGCGGATGGGGCAGCGAAGTTCCTTGATTACTCAAAGAGAGTCTCTGCAGCAATTCGTTTGAATTTTCACTTTCCGAATAGCTTCACCAAAGCTTCAACCACTTTCTCAGGCCTGTACACACACATGCATGACGACACTAAAATAAATCACTCTCTTAAGCCCCTTTACAACCCCTTAACAACTCCTTCAGACCTCCAGTGAAGCCCACAGGGACACAGGCACCGCCAGTGAAGCCCACAGGCACATGAGGGTACTAAAATAAATAAATCACCCTTTTAAGGCCCTTTACAACCCCTTTACAACTCCTTTACAACCCCTTCAGACCGCCAGTTAAGCTCACAGGCACATGAGGATACTAAAATAAATAAATCACCCTCTTAAGCCCCTTTACAACCCCTTTACAACCCCTTTACAACCCCTTTACAACCCCTTTACAACCCCTTTACAACCCCTTCAGACCGCCAGTGAAGCCCCCCGGCACATGAGGGTACTATTCTTGAGAAAACATGCATCATAAACCACCAGTCTGTTTCTGATGTGGTCCTTGTTCGGAGCTACTGCAGGCAAAAGGTTAAAGTTGGCGCCTCGCAAGATGAGAAGTTGTTTGGAATGTTTACACACATGTGGGACCCATTCAAAGAGATCGTAAATATATTATGGGAATTATAGTAAAATATATTACCGACTCTGGTTCGGAACAGAAGAACTCAAAAGGTTTCTACACACATGACGGTTCATTCGTTTTAGAGACAGGCAGCACAGCGCATCAGGAAAAAGGGGCTTGGACGGACTGGTGGTTTAATGAAATAAGATAAACAAACTGACCTTTCTGTATAAGATAAACAAACTGCCCATTGCACCTATCAAGTAATGAAAAAAAATATACATTGACATGAAGAGGCATGAGGAGGAGGAAGTTATAGGCCAACCTATTTATCTTGTGACAATGAGACCAACACCGGCGGACTAAACGTCCATCAGACATGAAGGGGGAACGACAAATGGAGTACTGTCATTCTCCTCCAATCTGCTTTGGGTCAACCGTTTCCCGATTTGTGTGTGTCATCCTTCCACAGCGGCCATGCTAATCTTCTGTGTATGGCTTCAATTTTATTAGGTCCACCGCGCGCGTGCGAGAGAGAGAGAGAGAGAGAGAGAGAGAGAGAGAGAGAGAGAGAGAGAGAGAGAGAGAGAGAGAGAGAGAGAGAGAAGCTGTCTTTCCAGTACGATGCAGTAGTCGGTACGAGGGTGCTTTCTCTCTCGAGAAGCTGTCTTTCCAGTATGGTACAGTCGTTACGAAGGTGCTTTCTCTCTCTCTCTCTCTCTCTCTCTCTCTCTCTCTCTCTCTCTCTCTCTCGCGCGCGCGCGCGCGC